TGGTTTTGGTTAAAGATATCGTATAGAATCAATTCATGTAGCTTGTATTGATTATATTAAAATGTTTGTGACTAGATTTGAGTTGTTCGGAGGATCATTCACAAAGCAAGGGCTTGTTGGAGTAGCGAGTTGCACGTTTTGAGGTAAGTCACATTTCTAAACTTGGAATTAAAGGTAATTATCCCTCAGAAATGTGTTATTTGTGTTGTGTTGGGGTGACGGGCGTGTGGGCGTGCACTGTAGTAACCATGATCCGGGTGGCATTTTTGTACTGAGTTGCTATCAAGTCTTGTTTTATCCGTGTAATCCCCACTTGTTAGAGTGATTGAACTGTGATTCATATTAGAAATCAAGTTAGGCTATGTGCTTATTCGGTTGTGACCTAATGAGGCTATTTCTATTATTTTTGAGTTATTAACTTTAACTGCAATTATGTACTCAGTCATAGTTCTTCATTTGCATATCATATATCAGTCTCTGTTATCATTCACTGTTACATTACATGTTATCATTATTTGGTCTGACAGGTACGAGATCTGTGAGCCCTTGAGACTTGAGATATTGATGATTGTGTTGGTCTTGAGAGCCGGTTTGTGAGTGTTATTGTGAATCGGGCTGCACGCTGCAGCAGGCCTTCTTGGCTTATTTATTATTGTGGATCGGGCTGCACCCCTTAACAGGCCTTATAGGCTTTATATTAGCGCCTGGGAAGGATCCACCTCTCCAGAGTCTGACATACTAGCAGTGAACGCAGGAACAATGATGTATATATACACGTGCTTTAGTGAGGGGCTTAGATGTTAGGCCCCCGTACAGTACTGAGTGTTTGTGTGTGGATTGTATGGGAATTTGGTAGTCATATTGAGTATTTATGAGAGAGTGAGTATTTGGGGATACCACCATGAATTCATACAATTGACATGCATATTTGACATGTAGGCATAGAGATATACCATTTCTCATTCTAGCTATACTTGACATGTTCTTTTCACTGATGGTCTTTAAATGTTAACTTGAAATCATGTCTAAATTTCTATACCCTGAATGAGCTGATCTGGAAATTTATCTGAGTTATTTATTGTCATTGTCATTATTATACATGTGTTGTCATCATATTGGTTCTGACTGTATCCTTATGAATTCGTCATTGCTTTCAGCTCAAGGTTAGTTTTGTTACTTATTGAGTACATGAGGTTGGTTGTATTCACACTATACTCTGCACTTCGTGTGTAGATCTAGGTACATCTGGACGAGGTGATTACTAGATCCATGCTAGTACCTGCTAGGAGACTTAGAGGTAGCTGTTATGATTCCCGCATACCTTGACTCTTGTTCCTTTTATTTTCTGTAGTACTGTTCTATTACTCAGGCAATTGTACTAGAATTTTGGTTATGTTGATTCTTAGTAGTGCTCATGTACTCGTTGACATCAAGTTTTGGGGTGGTTGTAGTAGCATTTCAGTTATTTTTATCAGATGTTTATGACATTTTCCATTATTGAGCTTATTAAAACATGCTTTATTCAAATGTTTAGTTGTTATGTGATTGTTGGTTTTCCTAGCAAGTGTGTTAGGTGTCATCATGACAGGTTGAGATTTTGGGTCGTGACAATAAGTGCGTAGAGAACTGGCCTTACAAAATTCTCCTCGAAGCAGCTAACATTTCACACTTATCTAGGTGATTTCTAAACGTGCCATCCTATAGATAGACTATTTGATATACCCCGTATGAAATTTAGAAACCATTAAAAAGCATTAATGCTTTATCCTTGGTACTGAACATTGTCTCATCACGAGAGTGGACTAAATTATTTTTTTATTTGACAATGTTGAACCGTCATTAATGACTTTATTTGATCTCCTTGAACCTAGATCTTGGGATCTCCAGTCTTCTAGGTAAAGTTACCGCCACAATAATTTGTCATCGGCTATAGTCTTATTCCCCTCGATAATCTTTCAACTACCTCTCTAGTTAGGCCTTTCGTAAGTGGATCCAACACATTATCGCTTGAGTTCGCGTACTCAATCATGATAATTCCTCTAGAGAGTAATTGCCTAACGATTTTATTTCTTCGTCGTATATGACAAGATTTCCCGTTATAGATAATGCTCCAAATCTTTCCGATTGTTGCTTGACTATCGCAATATATATCCATGTTGATATCAACGATTATGTGACTCACATGGTAAAGTTTCTCTTTATTTAGTTGTAACGACCCGGCTAGTCATTTTGAATATTACAGCCCCGTTCCCATATTTACTGCTCAATTTGTGCTTTATAGTTTTTATGTTACTTGCCGGGGTAATTGGTTCGGGTCCGGTAAGGTTTCGCAATGAATTGATACACTTAGTCTCAAAGATGAAAACTTAAGTTGAAAAGGTTGACCGGATATTGATTTATGTGTAAACGACCCCGAAATAGAGTTTTGATGATTCCAATAGCTCCGTATGGTGATATTGGACTTAGGAGTGTATCCGTAAAATTATTTGGAAGTTCGAAGTAAAATTAGGCTTGAAATGGCGAAAATAGGAAATTTAAGTTTGGAAGTTTGACGGGGAGTTGACTTTTTAATATCGGAATCTAGTTTTGAAAATTTTATAGGTCTGTTATGTCATTTATGACTTGTGTTAAAAATTTAAGGTCAATCGGATTCGATTTGACAGGTTTCGATATCGAATGTAGAAGATGGAAATTAATAGTTTTTATTAGGCTTGAATTGGGGTGCGATTCGTGTTTTTAGCACTACTTGATGTGTTTTAAAGACTCAACTAAGTTCATATGATATTTTGGGACTTATTTGTATATTTGGTTGAGGTCCCGGGGGCCTCGGGTAAGTTTCGGATATTTAACGCATCAAATTTGGACTTAGAACAAAGTTGGAAAATTTGCTGCCTACTAATGCAACCGCACCTGCAGAAATTATCTCGTAGGTGCGAGCTCGCAGAAGCGCGCCTGGGTGCACAGAAGCAACATTGGCTTGGCAAGGGCTGGGATTGCAGATGCGCGTGGTTGATCACAGAAGCAGTTGCACACCTGCAACGCATCCATCGTAGAAGCGGAAATGGGAAGAGGCAGCTTGTTCCGTAGAAGCGATAGGTTCGACCGCAAAAGCGAGTCCGCAAAAGCGGAACTGCAGATGCGGTTAAAACTTCCGCAAAAGCGGAACCTCTAGGCACTGTACAAAAAAAGAGGGGTCTGAAATTTTCTCATATTTTGGACATTTTCAACACGGGTTGAGGCGATGTTTCAGAGAGAATTCATGCGAAATCTTGAGGTGTGTCACTTGTGATCATTGTTAGTCAATAATATTGAATTATCATCGATTATTTCGACTAGATTACGTATTTTTGAGTAGTTAGAGGATTTGGACCTAGGGATTGGAAAATAAGATTTGAGGATTTGAAGGTAGAGTTATTATCGGAATTTGGTATGGTTGGACTCGGGGTTGAATGGGCGTTCATATTTTGTAACGTTTGTCGGGTTCCGAGACGTGGCCCCCACTGGTGAATTTTGAGTGGAATTTCGAATTTTGTTAGAAAATTAGTATTTTCATATGGAATTAATTTCTATAATTTGTATTGACTAAATCAAATTAATTGTGACTAGATTCGAGGCGTTCGGAGGCTGACTCGCGAGGCAAAGGCATAATGGAGTAAATAATTACACGGTTTGAGGTATGTAACATTTCTAAACTTGGTTCTGAGAGTTTAAATCCCTGAATTACGTGTTATATGAATTGACTGGAGGTGACGTACATGCTAAGTGATGGGCGTGTGGGCGTGCACCATGGAAATTGTAACTTAATTGATTCCGTGGAGTTTCATAATTAAATAAATGTCATTATCTACATATCCTCCACGTGTTAGAGAAATTGAGCTGAGACTCATATTAAAGATTATGTTTAGGCTACGTACCGATATTTTTGGGACCCACAGGATTGTGTTGCTGTTGAATTAATTATTTTAAAATGTAAATTTTATACTTAGTCATGTTCATCTATCTGTGAGGATACTTATGGGATCAAGTTGTGCGCCGCAGCAGGCCATATTGTGTTTATATATATTATTATTATTATGTCGATCGGGGCTGCACGCTGCAACATGCCATATAGGCTTTATTATTATGAGATCGGAATACACTTCGCACTAGGCCATATTGGCTTTATATAGCGCTTGGGCTGAAGGAGCCCCTCCGGAGTCTGCACCCCCAGAGTGAGCGCAATTGGTATTTATAATTGGGATGGATTTCCCAAGACATGAAGTTGCCTTCTATTTTTTTTATAATATGGATGGATCTTCCCTGGGCATATATCTTTCCCGAAATATTTATACTAGTTGGGGCTGGATTGGTCTTATACAGTACTGACACTACTAGAAATCACCCTTATTGTGTCGACCAAAGTCGCTACAAAATCCCGGTTAGTCGCTGCTAAATGGTATCAGTGGTGACTTTTGTATTGCCACAAGCACAACCGTAACTGAAAGTTATTTGTGACGACATTTGAAGTCGCCGCTAAAAGAACATATTTTGCGGCAACATAGTTGCCACAAAAGGTTAAATATAATGCTACAAAAAATTGTTCCACAAGAACAAATATTAGATGGGATGCCACTGTATATTCACCTTTAGCAGCGACTAGCATCGCCACAAACACATTTATGTTCAGTGGCAAGATTATGTCGCCACTATAAATGGCTTTTCGTAGCGGCGGGTGTCGCCACAAAAGATTAAACCATGAAAGATACAATATATTTCGGTAGCAACTAAAGTTGTTGCAAAAGAAAGAAACCTACAGTGAAAACTTTTATATCGCAACAATTACTAATTTGTTGTGGCAAAACTATGTCTGCACTAAAACTTATTTTCTCATCAACTGTAATGACCAAAATTATATATATTTCCATGCTAGTTGGAACCTAATTCTCTAAAATTTTATATAGGGATATTCATATCAATTGACTACCAATATTATTTAACAAACACCAAATGAATTTCTCAAACCGAATATTATAAATATTATCATTACTAAAAAGTCAATTACATATATACTACACGACACTTCATTGTGCATTGTAATTGTACGCATATACATATCCCAAAAAAGATAAAATATTAAGTGACTTGTAGCTGCTCTTTGCTCGACACCATCCTTGAACGATACCACTGTTTAACTGCCTTGTCCCTGCTAGACAAAAGCAATATATATAAGGAACATAATGAGATTTGTTATATCCAAAAACATGCATAAACGAATAAAGTATAAGCTAATACATTAGTATAACACAAAGTAAATTTGTTCTATGCTATTTCAATTGTGAAATGAAATGGCACAAGTGTGAGAACATAAGTTTTGAGGCAGCAAAAGAATGAGAATACAACAGTTGCACGAAAGCCGGATAAAGTAGAGGCATTGGACAATGCGAGGAATAGAAGCCTCTTCCAACTTTAGCTCTACCCCTGTCCTAGCCTTAATTACCCAATTTCATGTGCTTATAATTTTTCATTCACTGAACCTACGTAAATAACTAATCTGCATTAACAACCAAGACAGTCCAAAACTGCCTGAACACTTATCTCAAATTTTTGTTACTGCATTTTTGCACATGCACTATCAGTTAAATAGCTACAAGAAGTTTAAAGAAATGACTATGAACTTTTCTATTCAGGTAAGCCAAGAAAAGGATCCCACAAGAACCAAAATAAATTTCAAAAGATTACGGAAATTGCCAACTCGCAAAAGCAATATTAATCAGAATACAGAAATAAACTCGAAAAGGTGCATCTAGTTTGCATCAATTAACATCAACATTGAACAATAAAACTTAAATACGCCCAATAGCAGAATAATATTTTATATATTTAATCTCTTGTTGTTCATTAGTAGCTCTGCTCAATCAGTAAAAATAATTTTCACAAAACAACAAAAAAAGAAAACTAACTTGCACAATTTTCAGCCTCTGGAGAGCGATGCACAGTTTCTGCTACATTTCATGATGATTGTGTTTCTAAAGAAGGTATTTGGAGAGAGTTAGTAGATACTCGTCCGGTCTGTAAAGGTCCTTGACTCGGGTTACATGGTTGTCCTATCTCTACAGATGCACCAGATACATGTCCGATATGTATGTGTGGCTGAGACGTTGCTCCAAAATTGTCACGTCCTTGAAACTTTTCACGGCCACAACTCGTCCCACCTCTCTCACGTTTTCCTCGTCTAGTTCCTTTCATTTCCTACAACATCACATAAAAAGAAAATGAATAATCAGACTAGAGAAATATTAATTCACTAATTTTACTTCACCGCTAATTTTGTTATGAAATTAATGATTCAAACATTACGAATTAATTTCATTCAGTCTAATTAGGACAAAAATACAGAGAACCTTTCAAAATAAGATGTAGACATAAAGTTTTAAGCATCACGAACTAATTTCATTGTAAGTCTAATAAGGACAAACATACAGAGAACTTTCAACAATGAGATATAGACATAAAACTTCAAGCATCAGAAGAGAATCAAAAAAGAAATATAAAGAAATTTTAATCAAGATATGTTAAGAGGCTCTAAACATGGAGGAGAAATCTTTGAATGACTAATTCAGATAATCTGTAGTTCACCTTAACTTTGGAAGAGAATAAAATGATCTTATGGAAATGTTTCCAGTGAGAACATTCATCCACTGATCTTTCCACAATGAAAAAAGATCTCACAAGACCTTATGAGTCCTAGATAATCACGCTCAATCTATCTGCTGCTCGCGTACAAGTTGTCACAGGTTTGAAAAGATGCATTGACAGTTCCAAACATGTGCAGGGGTAGTATAAAGTTATGATAAACCAATAAAGTTGTCAGTTTTCTCATCATAGCAACATATATTACCCTTTTTGTTGGGATCGGGAATCCGGGTAGTGCGGAATTTAGCCAAACAACGGTATAATGACAATAACAAAGATAATGGAAGTTGATAACAACGACAATTAAAGTAGATAAAGAAGACACAAATTTAACGTGGTTCGGTCAAAGTGACCTACCTCCACAAGCGGAGATGAACAATTTACTATAACAATAAGAGTACAAAAGAGAGTACAAAATTAGAGTAAACACTCTAATTAATCCCAAATACCCTAAGAGAATAACCTCACAAGATCACTCCAAAGAAAGGATTCACACAAGTGCTTCCCAACACTTAACTCTCATACAAAACACTCTTAATAAAGGAAGAAAGGAAGAAACGAGAATTGAAGACAAGTCTTGTTCGTGTGTCTAAAATGAACTAATGGCCTTCCCTTTTATAGGCAAAAAAATTTTGACATCTTAGGTGTAAAAGAAGAGATACAACTTATGCAAATGATATCCAACACACAATGCAATATTTTTGGGTCCCAAAGAATATTGCCAACAAAGTTGACACTTTGCAAAGATGCTTATGCATATGTGAGATGGACTCCATTTGACAAAATAATGGTCATATTACAAATCTCCACCTTAGCCTAATTTTGGATGATATAGTAAATTTGCTCCACCTCTCCGCAAAATCCCCAATGGGCATATGTCAAAATTTAATGCCATCAAAATCAGACAAATTGTCCGATTTATCGAAACTGTAGTAGGGCCTATAATAGTTGATCCCAATAAAGTATACAACGAACCAGATCTGTGTGCTTTCATGATCAAACGAGCACCTTGAAAAATTTTCAGAACTCCACCTTCACCATTGAACTTGCACCCAAGGGATTCTAAAGTGCCTAGAGAAATGAGATTTTTCTTCAACTCAGGAACATATCTAACATCGGTAAGAGTTCTCACCACATCATCGTGCATTCTGACCCAAATTGTACCTTTGCCAATAACGTTACAAGTAACATTGTTACCCAATTGGACAACTCCACCTGCAACTGAATCATATGTAGAAAACAAGTCCCTGCTATGACACATATGATATGAACAACCGGAATCTAAACTAGTTTTAGTTGCTTAAAATGTAGTTCCCTCAATCTCATCAGTTGCTACACTAGTTTCGGCGGTGTCAGTATTTTTGTGCTCATTTTTTCTTTCTTTGTGCTTTTCTTTATTTTTCAGTTTATAGCATTCAGAGATATTGTGACCTTTCTTATGACAATAGCGACACTCTAAATTATTGTATCTGGAATTGGAGTCGGATTTGCCCCTAACAAACAAGCCAACTTCCGCTTGAGTTCCACTAGCTTCCCCAGTAATATCACTATCTATCTGTTCTTTTGATTTTAAGATAGATTTAATATCCTTATAAGAGATATTATCCTTTGCATAAAGCATAGTATCTCTTATATGCTTAAAAGATGGGGGTAGAGAACAAAGCAGTAACACGGCTTGATCCTCATCTTTAATTTCAGCATCTATATTACTCAAATCCATAAGAATGGAACAAAGGTGTCAAGATGAGAGAGAATAGAGGTACCTTAACCTATACGAATTGTATAAAGTTTCTGCTTCAGGTAAAGTCTATTTTCTACCGTCCTCTTCATATATAAGGTTTTCAATTTTTCCCACATGCCTTTAGCTGTGGTTTCTACAGAAACTTCACGTAAAACCTCATTTGAGAGATTTAAAATGATACCTGCTTTTGCCTTTTTGTCTATGATGGCAAACTCCTCGTCCGTCATTTTATCCGGCTTCTTCACCTTTCCTTGCAACGCCAAGTCTAGGCCATCCTGAATTAGGATAGCTTCCATCTTTAATTGTCACATTCCGAAGTTTGCACTTCGATCAAATTTCTCAACATAGGTCTTTGTTAGAGTCATTTTGGCTATTGAAACTAACCCGATTAGATCCGGCTCTGATACCAATTTGTTAGAATCGGGAACCCGGATAGTGCGAAATTTAGCCAAACAACAGTATAATGACAATAACAAAGACAATGGAAGTTGATAACAGCGACAATTAAAGTAGATAAAGAAGACACAAATTTAACGTGGTTCGGTCAAAGTGACCTACGTCCACAAGCAGAGATGAGCAATTTACTATAACAATAAGAGTACAAAAGAGAGTACAAAATTAGAGTAAACACTCTAATTAATCCCAAATACCCTAAGAGAATAACCTCACAAGATCACTCCAAAGAAAGGGTTCATACAAGTGCTTCCCAACACTTAACTCTCATACAAAACACTCTTAATAAAGGAAGAAAGGAAGAAACAAGAATTGAAGACAAGTCTTGTTCGTGTGTCTAAAATGAACTAATGGCCTTCCCTTTTATAGGCAAAAAAGTCTTGAACTCTTAGGTGTAAAAGAAGAGATACAACTTGTGCAAATGATGTACAACACACAATACAATATTTTTGGGTCCCAAAGAATATTGCCAACAAAGTCTACACTTTGCAAAGATACTTATGCTTATGTGAGATGGACTCCATTTGACAAAATAATGGCCATATTACACTTTTGTTTGTGCTATAGCAGAAAAGCTTTATTGGCAGTGTGTTATACACTAATTCACTACTTTCTGATGCATTAATGCAGATGAAACACAATTTAGTAACACAAGAACTATTAAAAGCTAATAGTTGATTAGAAATGCATTAGGTAAGGGAAGTACGCTTTGACAGAAGCAGATGTACTTGTAGAAAATTTGTACTCTTTAATTCTTGTTATTATGGTTATCCTCTGCCCAGAGTATCTGGATTGCATACAAGAATAACACAATAAAACAATATACATTGTTGAAGACTAGTAAGACACACAAACAAGAAAACAGATGCATAGGGAAAGGTTGATCACATACTTAGACTACCTCTCAAGCACCGTTAACAATATAGAAATACCTCTCGAGAACCACAAGAGACTCTAATTTCACCACATCATTCACAAAGAAGTATTATTTTTTCTTATAATCATACAATAACATATTCCTGTCTTATAAAATTATAAACTCCATGTTTACTAATTTAGGCACATAACCATATAAGAACAAAATAAGAATGGAATGTCGACATGTAAAGGGTCTCTCAAGAAGAAGATTTTAACTTACCCAGGAAAAGATATAGGTGAGATTCTATCAAGACCGAGAATTCACAATAACAACACCAAATACGCTTCAAATGATTCTTTCTATGTGATTTTATTTTTGTTGTATTCCTATAGATTATCAAAGGGCTCAGAGAAATTTGAGATGAAATCTGAGAATACAAATGTGAAATTGCTAAAACAATAATTATCCCTAACTGCATGTTGAAAATTTGGTCTTAGAGAATCATTGTAAAAAAACCCAATATATCTTATATAAATCTTTATGGGATCTTAGTTAGATATGAGATAGTAACAAATAAGAAGGAAAGGATGCACGAAATCGATTAGGAATAGAAATCATTTCTTTGATTCTTCCTCTATGAAATCGATCGATTAAAGTAGAGCAACTTCTTTCCCAAAAAAAAGAAAAGATTAGATATCTGAATATACGTGACAAATGAGATTCACATTTTGATTTGAGGGATTTTAATTTGGCTGAAATTATTGTTGAGGAGAGAGCTGATTCTAGAGAGAAGGTCGATTCTTTATAGAGAGTTTTGTGCTTTCTATTCTTTCACTAGAGGAGAGTTTTGGGCATATGTTCCAGCAGACAATGTTTAATTAGGATAGGTATTTTTATTTTCTTTATTATTTTAAAAATAAAAATCTACTGTATAGGAGCGACCCAGTCTCTACAAGAGAGATTTACCAGTGAATGTAAAATCTCGTCACAAAAACTACAACAACAACTACATACCCAGTAATATCCCACATCGTTGGTTTTGGGGAGGGTAGTGTGTACGCAAATATTACCCTACCTTGTGAGGATAGAGAGGTTATTTCCAATAGACCCTCGGCTCAGGTAAGTATAAGCACCACATTAATGAAAATATAGACAAGAAGAGACAATACCAAGAAGCCATATAAAAACAGAATAAAAATAACCAGATAGTAAGGTGATCAACAATGAAAGAAAACAACGGTTAGTCATAAAACCTATTACCAACAGCAAACGAGAGTGTGTGCCAATACTATTGCTATGAACACTCTAGACTACCTAATCTACTACCCTAATCCTCGACCTTCATATCTTCCTATCAATGGTCATGTCCTCGGTCAGCTGAAGTTGTGCCATGTCTTGCCTAATCACCTCTCCCCGCCACCTCTTCTTTGACCTACCTCTACCTCTCTATAGGACCTCCAATTCCAACCTCCCACACCTCCTCACCTTTACATTTGTGCTCCTCCTCCTCACATGACCAAACCACATAAGTCGTACTTTCCGCATCTTGTCCTCAATAGGGCCCACACTCACCTTGTCGCGAATAACCTCATTTCTGATTCTATCTAACTTGGTGTGCCCGCAGATTTATCTTAACATCCTCATCTCTGCTACCTTCATCTTATGGACATGAGCGATCTTGACTGGCCAACACTCAGCCCCATACAACATCGTTGGTCTGACCATGACTCTGTAGAAATTACCCTTATGTTTTGGTGGCACATTCTTGTTACACAAAACACCAGAAGCGAGTCTCCATTTCATCCATCCCGCCCCAATACGATGTGTGGCATCATCAATATCCCCACCCTCCTGAATAATAGACCCTAGGTACTTAAAACTCCCTCTCCTAGGGATGACCTACGAGTCCAGTCTCACCTCCCCTTCTCCTCCTTGAGTCTCACCACTGAACTTACACTCCAAGTATTCTGTCCTGGTCCTGCTCAACTTGAAACCTTTAGATTCCAGAGCCTGCCTCCATATCTCTAATTGCGTGTTCACACCATCTCGCA